CCATCCTCCGCGTTGACAACAAGTCGGCAATCACGGTCGCTGAGGGCTTGGGGCTGACGGGCAACCTCAAACACATGGAGCGACGCTACACCTGGCTGCAGCACATGGTGAGGCGCGGGAAATTTGTGCTGAACTACATCCCTACCACCGAGCAGCCGGCGGACTTCCTGACGAAGGCGCTGCATTTTCCGGCTTTCAACCGGTGCTCTGTCGCCATCGGCCAAGTTCGCCTGGTCGACGTTGGCGATGGCGACGACGAGGTGCAGCAGTAGGTGCCGTGCCCTTCAGCACGGCTGGTGCAGTGACGGCGTGCTGTGTGTGGGGTGCACGTCGAGGACGAGTTTTCTCCGTGGAGTACTGCCGTGTGGGCTGGAGGCCCAAGCGTGAGCGCGGCAGGGGAGTGTTCACAGGAATGGGGTGTTGGCCCCGCCCTTGCTTGGGCAACGCCGACGACTTGGTCGGATGCACGGGAGTAGCAGCTGACCGTTCACAGTGGGATAGCTGCTCGACAGATTACGTTGAGCTGCAGCGGACCACTGTGGTGTTGCTGTCAACCAAGGAGCTCGACAGCTGCAACTAACTGGTTTGTGCGACGGGTGGGCCGTCCGGGAGGTCGACGAAGCAGTCCGTCAACCTACAGCTCGACGGGGAGGTCTACGGAGCATCCCGTTGAATAGCAACTCGACCGGGAGGACTGGGGAGCATCACGTCGACCTACAGTTCGACCGGGAGGTCGACAGAGCATTTCTGGTTGACGGAAGGGGTCCGTCGACTAGGGGGTAGCTCGACGGGAGTTGTGGTCGACCAGGAGCGCCTGGTAGTCGACCAGAGGGACTCAGTGGTCGACCGGAGGCACCTGGGGGTCGACCGGAGCACCAGGGGTCGACCAGGTCGACCGGGTAACTTGCTCGACGAATTCTGCGAAGGCTCGCGAATGTCGTCAAGATCGCGATGGCGCAGGCGACTTCGGACTGGTATCCCAAAGTCGATGTGGCTCGTCAGGCGCAGACAACATCCGACGGATGCCCAACGAGGCAAGTCGGGCCAATCGTCTGCGCACACCTGCGAGCGGGCGCACTGCTGTGTTCTACGGGGCACGCTGTCGACCTTCTTTGTTGGCAGGTCGCCCTTCTGCACTGCTGGCGCGGCTCCTCTATGCAATGCTGGCAGGCGGTCGACCGAGCTGCGCTGGCGGTCGACCAGGCTAGTTGCAAGGTTGCTAGGTGCCTGATGTAGTCATTGTTGTGATTGCTTCTTTTATTATTCTGGATTCTTAACTTTGCTAGTGGAAACTCTTGCCAATTCGTCTCATGAATGTGCAAGCACTAAGGAACCAAGCAAAGCTACAATCACCTTTAGTAGTTCGTGCCAACCCTGTAGTCCAGCTCACAACCGTTGTAGAGTGTATCTCCGCAGCCAAGGCAGAGCCCAACAGTCCCCAGTGTACCCTCTCTCCCTCCCTGTTTTCCCCTCCCCACCCCAGCAGCAAGCAAGGCCAGCCAAGGCAGAGCCCAACAGTCCCCAATGTACCCTCTTTCCCTCCCTGTTTTCCCCTCCCCACTCCAGCAGCAAGCAAAGCCAGGATAGGCCCAGCCTGCGAGTCCTATGTGTACCTTCCTTATCCATTTTGCCTGACTAATGCTTCACATTCCAGCTGTTTCACAAAGTATCGTATGTTTCCCCTACGACACGACAGGCCCTGCATCGTTCAACATGCTTACTTGGCACACGACTGAGCACCGTGTGCCGTTTGCATCACCTTGCTTCATAAATGCAATCAGCGCCTCATTCAAGCGCCCCCAAGGTCGCAGGCTTATTCTCCCGCTGAAGTTACTAGCGTTCTGGCTGAATGGGGTGAGTGCAGTTTGCTGCATCTGCTACATTCTTTCTAAGGATCTTCTCGTGTAGAGACTAATCATGGTATTCCCTACAACCTCAGGTGGAGCACCGCATCATGCACGGCAGTGATTTGCCGAGAAGCACGAACGACAACATCCGCGATGTAAACATTTATTATAACAAGATTTGGAACTGGACAAGAGCTGCAATTGGAGGAGCAATGGCCGCAAATGGTCCCCGGTGGCGGCCGGGTGTTGGGGCATGGTCGTTCGCGCGCAGCGATGTTGTTTTTATTAGTGGTGAGGGTCTCGAGGGCCTAGTAGCTAATGCTTTCACGTATTAGTTTTGGTGTTTTCAAAATGTAGCATTGTTTGCTGTAGGTTTCCCTGCTTCTGGTATACCACTATGTAATAAATATTCTTTTAATAAATAATTGAACATCAATAACGGCTCATTTAAAAAATAATAAAACTCATATTTTATATTAAAATATTACGAACCCAAAATGTAGCAAATTTATTAATTTGCTGATTTATAGCGAGATGTATGTAGCAGCACATCAATTGTATTACCTGCTCGATTAAAGCACTTTAAATTAGTCACAAATTAAATTTCACGAAACAATGAAATATATATCGAATTTTACATTTTTTGTGCATCACCACATTTCGAAACTATCGTAGAGGGAAGGAGGTGGGATAACCATTGGCGGTCCAACAATGTTGGAGTGACAAGTGGCCAATCCGAAGCTCCTCTAAAGTTGTGGTTCCTCCCTCAACTGAGGGACGCCCAATCGCACCAACTGCCGAACCAATACAAAATGGTCCGTGGCTGGTCCCTCGAAGTTGGGAATGTACTGAGTGCGCTCTGCTCACAAACAGCTTGAAAAGCATCATGGCCACCAACATCAGCCATACTTTCCAAACCATTACGAGGAAGTAAGATTTCAAGTAACACCAGAGCAGAATTTCCTAACGGCATTTTTTCGGATGAGGCAACAATCCTTTAGCCAGATGTGGAGGTCACATGTAGCGGAGAACAAAGCGATTTTGTACGTAATCATTGATCAGGTGATTCAGGTGATGATTAAGTCCGTTCTGTGGAGCTTGGCTCAGGAAATTTGTTTCTGCATTCCCAAAGGCCTGGCCTATCGCCGATCCGATGACCATCATAGCGAGTCACTTTCTAATGATAGCCAATGTAGCGATAAACCATCGGCATCGTCCCACGTGGACGTCCGCGTCGCTGCCTCTCCAGAGGAGCCTCTTTGATCGGTCTTCAATCGTCTGTTCCACTCGCATCTGCCAGACTGTTGCTTGCCGTGCGATGCACGCCAGGCACCGCGATGAACCGAGGAGTACCCGCGGAGTATCCGTGCGAGGCAGCGTGGTACGCGCAGCAGGGAGGCGACGATTGCGTGGAAGCCACTCACGAAACTGATACGATGCGTGAGACGCAACCGGTCCATAGCATGGCTGATCGTAATACTTCGTACTCTCCTTGCACCTCGACCTCGAATCGTCTGTGTTCACGCCATAAGTGACCATCTGTCCCCGTCAAACTCGGCGTAACTCGTCGAACTCATCGAACCCCGCCATAAGTGACAGTCTGTCACCAAGTGCTGCTCGAACGCGCCATTCGCAATGAGCTGCGTCGACGTTGCTATTCGCGCGAGCAAATATTCTCTCAAGGGCGAGCTGTGCGTTTGTTAGTCGTAGCCGCGTTACGAGCTGATAATGAATCCCGTTTGATGGAGACGATTCAGGATCAAGCATCTGCGAGGGTGCAGCGGTAGAGGCGCATGGTTTGATCCTTAGTTTACCATTGCGCCTCGCCTCCGAGGCAATTCTATGACAGGCCTTCACGGGCTTCGTATTTGCGAAAGCCAGAATTTTCTGCACGCAAAGCAGCACCGTCCGAGTGTGTCACCTCACCTCCATCAGAAAAATGTTATCCCGCCGGATGCCGCGTGGTGGGGTATCGGCTTGGATTTCTAGGTTGGAGTTCATGTCGTGAATGACAGTTAATCGTCCGGTTGGGGCAGCGTGGTGGCGAATTATAGTCGATCGTTAGGGTAGTGTGGTTTACGGAAGTGATCTGTAGTCGAATGGGCCATGTTTGACAAAGCCACGTGTTGGGTCTCTCACCACGATCGGTGCTCAACTTCGGAAGTTGAGCACAATTTGCAGACGTGGCAGTAAGTGGGTGGTTCTTGCCATTCACAATCAGAAATCGATCACAAACAGGGTGGGTGTGTTTTTCCGAAGCTGTGCGTCGCGATAGAGTTGGGAGTTGTCTGATAGTTGTAGGAAAAATAGTGATTGTACTTAATAGATGAATTGGTTCATTGTTATGTTATTGTATCAAGAATTCAAATTCTGGGTGTTATGTTGTTTTTGTAATCGGTCATTCCAAATTTTTCCTGGGGTATCTTTTTTAATTATTCTATTACATCTTATTACTGGGTAGTATATTGTATATATCTTCGTTTAATTGGTGGGTAGTATATTGTATTTTGTTTTACTGGTTGGTATTATTCCACTCACATGTTTAATTGGTTACTGCGGTTTTAATATTGGCAGTGTCGATGCTTATAAACTGCCAGCTCGTGCTTTAGGGAGTTCCTCAAATCGTGGCATTCGAGCAAGAGTTGAGGGTGCAGCTCTCAGGATGATCAGATTTGCGCCAATTTTGAAAGCGTCAGTCTTTTCACACGTGACCATTGGTTGTACTTGTACCCACTGGCAACCGTGCACCCAGATGTTTCTGATTGGATGGTGTCAGTACAGCTCCACTTTCACGTTCAGGGTTGCGAAACCGTACCTAATCGCATAGAAAACCTGTTAATGCGCTATATTATGCACAACATTGCATTATACCAGAATGAAGTACATACATCAGACAGGATTTCGAGCTAGAGCAGAGACTCGAATCTCCCTAGCAAAATTCTCTCGACATTCGTGAGCACAATAGAGACTAAGTAGTCAGACCCTTGTGCTAGTTAAACCCTGTTACTGTCTTATTTAGTCTAGTGATCACCTCCGCCTTTATAAATTCCCTCGCATGTATCTCAGCAGACTTGGCCATCTGCCGTATAGGCAACGAACTAACTACTCGCCATGGGTCAGTAGCGGTTTCGTGTGGAACCTTGTTGCGTTTCTATGCGGGATGTTAGACCAACTGTTGAGAATCACAGGTGTGTCTCCAGACTCTCCCTTCGCAACGCTCCAATACTCCCGTGCCCCTTCACTCCAAACACGACGCGATCGTCGCAATCCTCCCTTCCCGAGGCTCATTCCTTGCGCGCCGCGTTCTTTTCCTCTCGTGCGTTCCTCCCTTACCCGCCACGTCGCATTCAGTGTCCTATCTGCTTCTGGTGCGCGCTGCCGTCTCTTCTTTCTAGACGATTCATCCCGTGGCGGACTCGTCCTATTCACCCTCCCGTGTGCGCTTCGTCCCGCCCACCCCGTCCTTTTCTCCCATGCCTGCCGCTTTGCATTCTTTCTCCCGTCCGCTTCTCCCGTGATCGTTGTCGTCCCTCCCTCTGTTCCATTCTTCGTGTGCCCCATTCCCCCTACCGTCCATTCCTCCCGTTCGCTTTTCGTCGATTCACTGCCATCTGTTTCCCCCATATCCGCGGATTTCGCATTGTCCCTCCCGGGCTTCGTGATTGGCGCGCCTCGCCCCATTTAGCTCCCTACTCTATTGCGCGCCTGGTTCCGTTCCCTATCTCGGCCAATCCTTATTTTCGCGCCTCGTTCGTTCCCTATCTCGTTCGTTCCTCCTTTGCGCGCCTTGTTCGTTCCCTCGTATTCCCTATCACGGACGGTGTCATTTGTCCTGGTCGTCCCATTCTGCCTATTGTCTCTTCCACGCATCCGTGCCTCGTGCATTCCGTGATCTCGTCCATTGCTTGCATCCGCGCCTCGCTCGTCTCCCCCTCTCGTCCGTTCCTTGTTCGCGCCTCGTTCCCATTCCAGCTCTCGTCCGATACTCCATACCGCGCCTCGTTCTTTGCTCTCACTAGTCAGATCCTCCCTTCCGCAAGCGTACACTCTCCTTCTCTGCGCCTCTCCTCCATTGAGCGTACCCTCTCATGCCCCGCTGCTCCTCTCTTCCATTGTGTGTGCACTCTCTTTCCCCTCCGCGCCGTTCGCATTTTGTCCCCATCATCTCCTCCTGTGCGTATACTATCACATACACCGCTGCTCCTCTCCTCCCTTGCGCCTTCTCTCTCCCTACCACCCGCCCCTCCTTTTCTGTGAGCCCTCCCTCTCATTCCCCTCTCATTCTCTCATTCCATGCGCCATCCCTCTCATTCCCCTCTCATTCCCCTCTCAAAATCTCATTCTGTGCGCCTTCAATCTCATTCCCCTCTCATTCTATCATTCCGTGCGCCTTCACTCTCATTCCCCTCTCATTCTCTCATTCTGTGCGCCTTCACTCTCGTTCCCCTCTCATTCTCTCATTCCGTGCGCCTTCACTCTCATTCCCCTCTCATTCTCTCATTCCGTGCGCCTTCACTCTCATTCCCCTCTCATTCTCTCATTCCGTGCGCCTTCACTCTCATTCTCTCATTCCGTGCGCCATCCCTCTCATTCCCCTCTCATTCTCTCATTCCGTGCGTCATCCCTCTCATTCCCCTCTCATTCTCTCATTCTGTGCGCCTTCACTCTCCTTCCCCTCTCATTCTCTATTAGGATGTGCCTTCCCTCTCATTCCCCTCTCACTCTCTCATTCCGTGCGCCTTCACTCTCATTCCCCTCTCATTCTCTCATTCCGTGCACCTTCACTCTCCTTCCCCTCTCATTCTCTCTTAGGGTGTGCCTTCCCTCTTGTTCCCCTCTCACTCTATCATTCCGTGCGCCTTCACTCTCATTCCCCTCTCATTCTCTCATTCTGTGCGCCTTCACTCTCATTCCCCTCTCATTCTCTCATTCTGTGCGCCTTCACTCTCATTCCCCTCTCACTCTCTCATTCCGTGCGCCTTCACTCTCATTCCCCTCTCATTCTCTCATTCCGTGCACCTTCACTCTCCTTCCCCTCTCATTCTTTCTTAGGGTGTGCTTTCCCTCTCATTCCCCTCTCACTCTCTCATTCCGTGCGCCTTCACTCTCCTTCCCCTCCCATTCTCTCATTCCTTGCGCCTTCATTCACATTCCCCTCTACTCCTCTTCTCACGTGCGCGTTCTCTCGTCCCCCTCTGGTTCACTCCTCACGTGCGCGATCTCTCTCGTAACCCTCTATTCTGCTCTCATTCCTTGCTCTCACTTGTCCCACCCTCCATTCCGCGCCTCGCCCCCATTCCTCGTGACATGTCCTGAGTTTCCTCTCATGCGAGTTTGCCCCATTCCCCTCTGCTCCGCTCCTCCCGTGCGCATGCTCTCTCTTTCCCCTCTGCGCCTATCCGCCCATGCGCAATTTGTCTTTTTCCCCTCTGCCCCCCTCCCCCCTTTGCGCCTTCTCGCTCGCTCCCCTATGAATCTCTTCTCCAGTGCGCCCTCTCTCTCTTCCCTCTGTTTCTCTTCTAGTGTGCACTCTTTCTCTTGTTCCTGTTTGTTTCTCTTATCATGTGCGCCTACACACGCATCCCCACCTGTTAATCTTCTCTAGTTCTCCGTCTCCATCACTCCTCTTTGTTTCTCTCCTCCAGTGCACCTTCTCTCTCCCGTACGCTCGTCCTCGCTATGCTCCGTTGCATCCTACCCCTTTCATCCTATGCTTGTATTCTCTAGTTCCCCGTTCATCCTGTGATTGTCTTCGCTGGTTTTCCCCTTCCCCATCATCTCATATGCTTGTCTTCTCAGGTTTCGGCCTTCCACTGGCCTCTTATGCTTGTATTCTCTGGTTTCCCTTTTCCCCTCCCCACCTATGCATGAATTCTCTGATTTCCCCTTTCCCCTCCCCTCATATGCATGTATTCTCTGGTTTCCCCTTTCCCCTCCCCTCAAATGCATGTATTCTCTGGTTTCCCCCTTCCCCTCCCCTCATATGCATGTATTCTCTGGTTTCCCCCTGCCCCCGCCCTTCAAGTTGCTTGTCTTCTCTAATTTCCCCTTCCCCTGCCCTCCTAAGCTTGTCTTCTCTTGTTTCTCCCTTCTCGTGTCCTCGTAAGCCTTTCTTCCCTGGCCTCCCCCTTCCCCCGCCCTTCAAGTCTTGTCTTCTCCCGTCTCCCCCTTCTCCCCTACTCCCAAAATTCTGGCAGATGTCATTTTTCTGCCCAAGATGTTGTCTCTATGCATTCGACACTCGATCGGGTTTGGGACACCACATGCAGAGCAACTCCTGCCCTGCAAACCTCATTAGCAGTAGCGAGCAGCTGCAGGGCCCCAAACGTGCAAGGTCGAGCTTCATCCCTCCTAACCCCATTCCGCGTGCAGTACTTAGGTTGGAGCCTGTGCATGCAAATGTAGGAACGGGTGTTGCGGAAGATGTGTCTATTGATGTACCTCCTATTTCTCGTGCTGATCCAACAGACACTAGTGATACTTCCTCATCCTCTGATTCAGTAGATAGCGCGCTGCCCTTTGAACAAGAGGACGATGCGTCTAGTAACGCTGCTGTATCTGGTGCTGATGATGATGGTGGGGAGGGAGCTCAAGCAGGTGTTGCACTGGAGGAAGAGGAAGATGCCCCTCAGTTTAACCTCAAGGATGCTCTTGCGCACTAGATCCTCTCCAACCGACTCTCTATCAGTCAGATTAACGTTCTGTTGGAAATCCTGCGCAAGACCATTCTTGAAATACAAGATTGGAAGTCCTACCGAGACGTGCAGGTGTACGCTGAGTCTAGGGCGACGGATGCCCACCGAGGTTGGCGACGAAAGACCATCCGGTCATGTAACAAGGCTTGGCTGGAGTATTGGTATTGTGATCCGTTGATTGCTCTGCAGGACCTGTTGAAGAACCCCAAGCTGGCTGCCAAGATGGTGTTCCATGCAGATCCTCAATATGTGGGGAACGTGAGGGTGTACAGTACCCCCGAGACAGGCCTATGGTGGGAGAGGTTGCAAACTTTGGTGCGGGAGGAGGATCCGGATGGAGTTGTGGCTGCTTTGATCTTTGCGGGTGACGAGACGCATATGGATCATAGAGGGAAGGCGAAGGGTCATCCTGTGTATCTCACGTTGGGTAACATTGATAAGGACGACAGGTGGCAACCCTTTGGGCATGTGCTACTAGCACAGCTCCCTGAGTTTCTGCAGAGTACAACGTAGGGGACAAGATGCAAGTCCACAATTACATCATGCGAGAGGTGCTGCAATCTCTTAAGACGGCATCCTACACCGGCATAGCTATGAAGAATGCTGCAGGCGAGTCAATCAATGTGTGGCCCTATTTGTACGCTTATGTGTCGGACTACCCAGAGTCGTGCAAGATCACGTGCACGAAATCCTTGGGTACTTCGTTTCCGTGTTCGATTTGCAAGGTGGACAAAAAGCACTTGGCAGTGCTGCAGGATCGTATCCAAGCTCGTACACCATTCGAGCAGGACACCATTGTGCGAGACATCTTAGAAGGCCGGCTCGCACTAGATGCGGAGGCAACCTTCTCCACCCACCCTGTGCAGGTATAGTATGTTGTGGGTGCTGTTTTAGGGTCATTCTATGGGCTATACCATGTGCAGAACTAACCTCTAGGTGCTGGTTCTGGTTTTTGCAGAGTTTCCTAGGTGGCTGGAGGTGGGAGTCCGACACCATTCTCAACCCGTACCTTGCGGTGCTGCCCGATGTGATGCACCAAGCAGATTTGGGCCTTTTTGAGCACATTGTTGACTTAATTCGCGCGCATGTGCAGTTACTGGCAGATAGAAAGAAGCTGGACAGAATCCTTAGGTACTACAAGAGAAGTATTAGAGGGGGGAACATGCGTTTACCCGCGGGTCAGTACTTCGAAAAGGGGGCGAACTATCAAGCATACGAACACCAGTCGGTCATGCAGATTCTGCCTTTCATCGTGAAGGGTTTTATTACGCAGCCACAGATGGACGCACTCGTCTCATACATCGAGTGGTACCTCGAGTGCGCGCGGGCATCGGAACACACCGACACCTCCCTCCTTGAGTTCAAGACAAAGGCACACCGGTGAGTAGTATAGTTCACAGTGTGTTGCGTTCATTCTCCGACTGCTTGCTAAATATTGATCGACATGTTTTGGCCTATACGCAGGATGTTACACAACCTCAAGACTGCATTCCCGCACACGTCGGATTGGAACTTCATTAAGATGCACCTCATCAGTCACTACATAGACTCCATTTGTGGGTCGGGCTTGCCCGAGCATTGTTCTGCACAACTATACGAGCATCTGCACATAGAGTACATAAAAAACCCTTACCAGGCATCAAATAAACGGTCTGTCAATAGCCAAATCGTCGGCAGCGAAGAGGCACGGCTTCGTCTTCAGTATATCGCGCCACAATTCATGGCGAAGAAGAAGTATGACACCCCCATGGTGAAGGTAAGAACTAGACTTATGTGTATGGTTCTCGATTATTTCCATCGAACATGGAATACACGTAACGAGATGATGGTGGTGTTCCATGCCTGCAGGCCCGACGGACAGGCGAGCGGGTTCTATCCAAGAGGAGTTGGGCATTGCACGTGCCAGAAACACGTGTTGGAGCCCCATACCCTCAGGTACCGGATGCGAAGCGTGATGGCCCGTTGCGGGCCATCATCGGCGAGGAGTTGAAACACTTGCATGCGGCATTGGATAGGGCACCTGGCTATGACGGCAATGGGCAAGCTATCAACGAAGTACATGTATGTACGACGTCCATTCCTGCCCCGTCGTAGCTTTTGTAATCGTACCCAAACAATCTGACTCTTCTGGTTGACGGTGCCTTTGCAGGTCCACTGGGAACTCGCCATGCCAGCTGCGGTTGATGCGCAGTATAGTCGCCTGCCGCACCGCATCCACGCCCTGCCCATGCACCACGGTCGTCAATGGTTTTCTGATGTGGCAGTCAAAGGTGAGGGCTCAGACGGGGACGAGGAGTGGTTTGCGAAAACCCTTCTGTTGTTTCATGCCAAGGTTGCGGGCACGGTTAAAAACTATGCATTCGTCAAGTACTACAGGGAACACGCCAGCATTGATGCAGCCACCAAGTGCAAGGTTTTGCACTGGGAGGGAGTTAATCAGAGGTACTGAGTAATTAGTATTGATAGCATCAAGCGCGCGGTATAGTTAGTGCGACCGGACAAAGACGCTGAAAAGTGGTTCGTTAATAGGTTTGCATGGTGAAAACTTCATACTGGGTAGTATATTTAAGTGGCCTGGCAGGCAAACAAAGCCATCTAGGTTGCCTTAGCCTTTTAAGAGTCAAATACTTCAATCTGTAATTTATATTACGTTCCCAATTCGTTTGCAGTCAGTACCAGACAGCATACTTTGTCCCGCTTCCTCATTATTAAGTCACCATCGATGCAATGAAAGCTGCCACACGCGACAACGTCAGACAAGGATAACTGCCTCGCGTTGCACACTGTGGGGTGCACCTGAATGTGGATGGCGGTGTCGCATTAGTTGGTCGAAATCTTCCCGTTGCTAACACAGATGGTGGCAGCTTCCGATTGGTTCATTCTGCGGCAATAACAGTCGTGTTGGCAGCACGATAGTCGAATTTGAGACACATTCAAGCATTTTCTCCAGCTACGTGCCACACTGCGCGCCACACACGCGTGACATCAGCTCCGTTGGAGTCGAGGTCTGCGCGGTGGCGACGTTTGTCTCACCTGCACCTTTCGAAGTGGTGCTTGTACGAGATGGAAAATTTTAGTTGTAAACTAACCGCTTGACCGCGACCGTGGTTGTTCCATTTGCTTTCGAGTAAATATCAAACAAGTTCGTGTTTGACGCGCAGCTGTGACTTCAACACTCTTTTTCGTTCACGCCGTGCTAGATCACTACATTTTGAAATATCATAGTTTCATAGCATAGTTTATGGGTGTGTTTTTTAGTTTAGGCACCTTAATTCACATATATGCATGTTACCTTACTTCCTCGTTTGCCGAATCAAAGTTCACAGTAACATTTTCCGGGAAAAGGCATGGAAAATAATGGACATATGGGGTTGAGAAGTCGCTAACATTCACTGTGTCGCTAAAAATGTCATATAATAAGTTGTGCAAAAAAAAAGCTCTTGGCTGGTTGCGTCGTGGCATTTTCCCCATTTGGTATGTTTAACTGGTCGTCAACCATCACTATCCTCAAACCTACGGCTCAGAACGGGGGACAGTTAGTGCAGGCAGGCACCGGGAAAAGAGTTTTGCCAGATCCAGCGAGGGTCACCTTGCCCCACCCTCATTCTGCTCTCAATCTGCTCAATGCCTCTGCAGTGTCATAGCTGGGAGATGACGTTCTTACAGAAGAGATTAAGAGGCGGCAGTTAGCTAAAGAGGCTGCCTTAAAAACAGCTGCAGTCAATACTCTCCACGGCGCTCCCACGGTTGGTAAGACGGCAGCTGCAGGCCGTCGGGGCGGGTCTAAGAGGAAACGTGCTGCCGCCGGCTCTGGTGGGCGTGGTCGATCCTCTGGTGCGAATGGCAACATTCGTGCAGGCTCGCCATCCGCTGACAACCCTACCGCCGGCACTTCGTCAGAAGCAGAAGGCGCGAACCCTGCACCGGTGGCAGAAGCAATGGACACCACGCAAAACGGCGCACCAACCACAGGCGGCATAGTCTGCGGTATCGCGTCATGCGCAGATACTGGAGCTCTCCCTGCACCCCCCGTGCCTGCCGCCGGAGCCCCGGGTCTGATGATGGCAGAAGTGATTGAGGCCGCAGCGGAGGGCGGCGTGGATTCTTTCATCGCATACGGCATCGAAGCTGGTAGCGACGACGAAGACGGGAACGACGACGATGCAGATGATGCGGACGGCGTCCAAGCGGGAAACGCCGATGAGTTGCGCGCAGCGGAGGTTCGCGCTGCGGAAGTGTGCGCAGCGGAGGTTCGGGCGGCGGAGGTTTGGGCGGCAGAGCTTCGAGCGACGGAGCTTCGGGCGGCGGAGATTCGAGCGGCGGAGATTCGAGCTACGGAGGTTTGCGCGGTGGAGGACCGCGCTGCGGCGGTTCGCGCGGCAGATGTGCGCTCTGCATAGGCTCGCCAGACGGAGCTGGCGCCGCACACCTCGCAGCCTAATAACCCGGCAGTACCCGCTAGGCGTGAACGGTCGCAAGGTAAGCAAACGCAACACGCTCATAGCTACGGTGCCAGTTCTTGAATTGTTGCTCAACTCCATCCTACGTTTCCTCCCCCCGGCCCCCCACTCGCCCCCTCCGCTAGCCAATGTGTTATGCATTTTATTTCTATGAGCTGAGCTCTGTTGTTCATTACGTTGGCTGGATGACTGTCTAATTGTTCTTTCCACTTGCTTGTTGTCTGCCTTTCTCGATACGTGTTATTCTCGGGGCTTGTCCCGTAGTTGCTGGTGCGCACCATTTCAGGGAAGCACGACAGCTGGAGGCGATATTGCGTGACCTGCAGAACACGGTCTCCACTCTGAACGCGCAGCTGCAGGAGGCAAGGGCCAGTATCAAGGCGGTGGAGGCTGAACGCGATAGTCTGAAAACGCAGTTGGAGTCGATGCAGCGACAGCTTTCAGCAGAAGTCGCTGGAACGAGCTCGGACGTGGGCGCCCTTCGGGACCCTTCTGGCCCCCTGGTCCGAATGGAGAACGTCCGTAAGGACGTTGCGGGCAACCCGACCATTCCGTCATCAGTCAGCAGCGACGATGCATTCGATGTAAGTTAGTTAACCGAGGTGCCATTCTGCTAGTATGTACTTTCGGATGTGCTGTCCTTTTATGTCTTGCAAGTTCTATCTTTAAACCCGCCCCCAACCCTTCCTCTCGCTACCGCTCTCGGCCCGTCCACCACTTCCTTCTGTCCGTCTTTTGTGAGTCCCGTCCACAAACTTGTGTGTAGCATGTCCGGTGCCTGAAATTTAACCCCCTCATCACCCTTGTGCGTCCTTGTGTTGATTGTCAGGAAATGGTGGGTAAAACCTTCGCCTGGCTCATCACCCTTGCCCCTGCAGAAGAGATGGAGTTCTATCCTCTGTGGGAAGAATTCCAGCCGCATTTGGTGCGCAAGTACATAGCTGAGGGGACCACGCAAGATGAATACTACCTCTTCATGGGCGGGAACAGCAAGCGCATTGATCGGGCGCTGAAGGTGATTAGCTGCAAACGCGCGAACATGAACAAGCCGATCAAGCTCTGGGCGTGGGGTGCTGGTGGCGTCATTGACCAGGATAAGTGGTTCCTTTTGAAGGTTGGTGGCATCACTCCATCAAAGGCACGCAACGAAAAGGAGTGGGTGGAGCAGTTCAAACACCGTGAGTGTGCTTGTCTTTTCATACATCCGCACCATGCTGGAATGTTCTTGCGCACAGATCTGATTGCCATTGTTTTTATCTCCGCAGCAAAGTATGGCTACGACTGGCATTGCTCTGCTCAGAGCGGCCCTTTCGCAAATGCAGCCTTTGAGCTGGCAGTCAAAAAGGCATTTGTCAGTGCCCGGTGCAACATGTTTGCAGTGAAGATTCCAGCGGTCGGCTATCTGTGCAACGTGGTAAGATGTCACTTGTGTTATTTGATCCTGTTTGTTTCCCCCTGCATATTGTTCTTAACTTAAGCGCCTTTCATTGGTGGCAGGTTGAATGGCCATTGGAGAACCACAAGGGCAAGAAGGGCCATGCATCTCTGGACAACAATGAGACCAACAACCGCAACAACGTCCATGCCAAGACGAGGGTGGTTGCTGCCTGGCTGAAGGAAACCCTTGAAAGGGAGCCTGCTACGTTCAAGATCGATGAGCCCATGGGGTTTGAGATGGGCATTGGGAAAGTTAGGATTTTGATAGAGGGATATGAGCTGTTTTTCTTCCCCTCAGGGGTCGTTCCAACCCCCTGGCCTCCTATTAACAACCTGTGAATACTTTCTAAATGTAGTAGGTTTTTTCTATTTAATGATTTTATGATGTAGAGTATTATGTAATCACTAATTCTGCAGAATTATATCATCCTTTTTATAGCATAGTCAATGCAGTTTTATATCAATGAAGCAATAACGTTAAAAATATTGAGATCTGTTGCATACAATCACGTCACTTTATTTTCCACACCTGTGACTATATTGAGTTGTTAATTTCCAGGAATACAACAAACTCCTCGATAACGAGCTGAAATATTTAGTTTAGCTGGTTACAATTGAAAATTAATTGCTCAGGTAGCCATATCGTAAACGCCAGCACATCTTCCCAATTGTTCGTCGCAACGGTGTGTACCACCAGTTCCTGCCCTAAACCGATGTTGTTCCTACAGTCCACGTGGCCAATCGAAGCTCACACCTCGAGCTGATTTCGACCGCAACCTGCAGAATCCGTTCGTTGTTGCTGCGTCAACCACCACACAACCGAACTTACCTTCAGACCGAAAAGTGGTTGTCAACCAGCGTTGACAGCACCACCTGTTTTGGGCAGATGAATGCCTCATTAACTAGGCAAGCAAAACACGACAGTCAACTCCCACGCTCCTTCACCTCCTCGACTGTTTACTGCCCCAAACTAGGCGGACATTTTTCTGATGTCTTTTGTCCCCGCTGTAAGCACGTTGAGGCAGAACGGTGGCCCTTGTGGGCTCGGCGGCGCAGAGCGAGCAGTAGGTGCAGCAGCGAGTGGAGGAGTGGAGGCGACGGCAGGAGAAGGAACGGGGAAAAACATGATCAGAACGCAAGAGAATGTGGGAGGACGGAGCTCCGAGAGTAACGTCTCGAAGGGCAGACAAAAAGGGAAGGGACCTCAGGGCTGAAGCAACAGCTGTTTGGTGAAAGCCTGTGCGATAGTAAGTCGACCGCTAGAACCATAACCGCCCTGTTATCGTGATGCTCTCACCTATTTTCCGCCCCTTGTCTCTTCTCCCTTCAGCTCGCTCTCTCTCAACACTCTCTCGCCCTTCACCTTGCACTTTTGTCCAACATTCACCTCCTCGCTTCCTCCGGAATATTGAGCATGTGCCCCCCTGCCCTGCAATGCGTTTCCCGCCTCCCCGCTCCCATGCCCAGGCTTAAAGGGTAACAGCCCGAGCCTTGAACCACTGGGCATCCACGCGCTGAGCCTTGAAGGGGTATAGCCCTTGGTTCAAGTCTGCAGATGCGTCGACCGTCCATGTGTGACATCTGATCTGCCGTAAGTCCCTTGGCGGTCGGCCGGGATTGCAGCAATTCAGCGGTGAGAAGCAACAAGGGGGCCTCATTTCTATCGCAGACATTCCATCCTGTGCACTCAGTGTGTGACGTGACGGCCTTCCTTCTTTTCTCCCCTACGGCTGCCATTCTCTGCCTTCATTATGCAACTGCTGCTTCCACTGTTCTCCACCCACTTGCTCCGGCTCCTATTCCCTCCCCCCCTCCTCTATTCCTCTTGCTGCTCACTGTTCTCCACTTTCCCTTACTCCCACCGCGTTCTCCCATGCTGCAACCGCACACCTTCCATTGGTGCTATGCGTGAATGTGCATAGTGTGCGTGCCGCATATGTGGTGTGTCCATGGTGTGAGCATGGTATGCATGATGGCGTGTGTGGTGCTTACATGGTGTGTGCATGACGTTTGTGGCACATACACCAGTGCACGGTAATGGTTGACTGGGATCGGAGGTACCTTCCTTTCATCCACACTCCACACTCCCCTTTCCGTCCTCTTTCCCTCGCCCTACCCTTCCCCTTTCCTCCCATACCATCCCCTTTCTCTCCTCTTCACCTCTCATTTCCCTAACCTTTCCCTCACCTTACCCTACCCTTTCCCTCCCCCTTTTCTCCCCTTTCCTACACCTTTCCCTCCCGTTCTCCCCCCTTCCCCTCCTCTTGCCTTCCTCCTTCCCTCCCAAGCCAGACGTGGCGGGAGTGTGGCAGAGCTGCGGAGCACAACCCCCATGTAGGAAAGCTCACTCTTGATTCATCTCCACAGGTTGCGACAGCTCTCCCTCTTTCTTCCCCTCCCCTTCCCCTCCTCCTCCATGCAACAGACCAGCCGTTGTGTTGGGAGTGGCGGTGCTGCTGAGCTGATCGGCACGCCCCTCATGGGGACATCATCCACACATCGGGGGACAAACTCCTTGGTCGGAATCAGCTCCAACGTGCTGGACCAGTCCAGATCGCGAGCCACTCACTCACTGCCTCTTGAAGACATGCCCCTCTGCCTCACCAGGGACAAACTCCTTGGAATCAGCTTCAGCCTGTCGAAGATCGAGAGCTAGTGCCCTTCTGCTCTCATGCTCACCTTGCTCCCATGCTCACCTTGATCCCATGCTCTCCTTGCTCCTATGCCCACCTTTCTCCCATGCTCTCCTTGCTCCCATTCTCTTTGTGCTCCCTACCAATCGTTTCATGACGCCCATGAACTCTCCTCCTTGACCTTGCTCCTGCCCTCTTGCATGCACACCCCCTCGAGGAGATTTTGGAGTTGCTGTGGGTGTACTGCAAGGCGGGCGGGAAGGGCACCAGAGATGCCACGGCGCGTGCCTTTGGCCTGTAGCAGCCTCCAGTGGGCCCGCTGGTTTAAGGTTGCCATGCCAGACGAGGCAAAGCCCAGAGGGTTTTTTGGGAAGTTTATGAGTCTTTTAAAATTTCTGTAGCACAAGTTGCGGTACACCTGCCCTGCCGCCTTTTAACAAAAAATGATCTCTGCTACCTATGAATGACTTCGAAGGTCCACTACCGTACCCCGACACTGGAAAGCCTGAAAACAGATGTTCTGAATCTCAAGAATGATGGTGAGGTGATGGCACTACAGGCAGCAGGCCCTTACGGATCCAGAATTTTTCAAGACACTTCCATGAAAGCCACCAGGTACAGATCACACTCGTTCATTCACACCACTTTCCATTCCGCGGGTAGATGAATATTTTCAACAAACTACGGGATGATGATATCGTGACTTCCAATCGCCACGCAGCTGGGGCAGCCTGTACAGCTGCTTGATGCCCTCTGCGGTGAACCCCGAGGAGCCATCAAGGTCAATAGACTCCACCTGAGTCATGGAAGAGATTTCCCAAGGGCTGCATCTGAGAGGCACGAGATGTTCTTCACGTCCAACGAGGTGCGAGCTGGTGTTGCTGAGAGGATGGCCTGAGAAGGGTTCAGAGGGAAGAACCACAGGGTTATCATCACAATCATGTTAGAGCACAAGGCGGTGTTGGTTTGGACACGTGCTGACAAGACAACCAGCACCAGCACCCCAACCACAGCACCTGGAGCAGAAACATGTGGCACCCTGAGCTGAGTGCCCCAGCCATTGACACCACCATCCACGACACTCACAACAACGTACCTCCCATATCTTCTCGGTGTCACGTTTCAGTTGGTCCAGTTCCGTTCTCAGGGCTGCCACCTCTCCCCTTGTGTTTGGGAACTCCTGCAGATAAAGTCACACAGAATAATGAGCGCGCTTCTTGCAGTACAAGAGCATTCCCTAAATGCGTCTGCCTTGCTTCCTTGCAGCAACCGGCTCAAGCACCCAGATTCAAGCATTGCTTACCAGCTCACGGTCTGTGAGAGTCCCCTCCAGCACCAGCAGATGATCCTTGTGTTTTGCCACATCCGCCTTCACGCCCACCAGCTCCTCCACAACCCTTTCTTCCCTCCCCTCAGCTTCCTCCACCTTCTTCCTGGTTGCTTCGAGCTGCGCAACAAGCGCTCTCACTGTCGTCTCCAGGGCCTCTTGCCTCTTGTGCCATTCACCGCTTTGCCCTAAACTGGCGTCGATGGCTTTACTCGCAAACTCCCTGTTTGCGGGATGGGAATACACCGGGGAATGATGATTTTTTAAAGCATAGTAATACACAAAAATGTAGACAAAGCAAACTCCCTGTTTGCGGGATGGGAATACACCGGGGAATGAAGATTTATATCCAAAGCAACAAAAAAGACAGAAATTCATGAGCAAAAAAATGTATGCTCAGGCAAGGATGCAAGACTGTAGTGATGAGGAGCGAAACATGCACAGGCACCAAGCGAATGACACTAGAATGGATATGGGGTATGCATAGAGGAGCAGTCGGTCATGAGGAGGGAGGAGCTCCGGAGGACGAACGCCATGAGCAGCCCGTTGACTGCCGCATCCTCTTCAGACGCGCGGGCCATGGAGGGCTCAGATGGAGATCTCGAAGCACGAGGAAGGAATCTGAAGCGCATGGGAGGAGGACGGAACCTGAGATACATGGGAGGAGGAAGTGGGGAAAAAGCCAGAGGGAGGAGTAAGGGGTCTGTCAAAACTGGAGGCGGCGGAAGGGACGACCACAAAATATATGATCGCACGAAAGCGCGTCGGATAGGGAGAGAAATGGGCGGAGGGGAGGAAAGGAGGGGAAAGTTTACCTCGGGGATTCTGTACAATGGCGTGCTTCTTCCAAGGCGGGTTTGTTCTCCTTAGCTTTGCAATGACGAATCGGCCTCAAGCGGGAAGGACCTACAGCATTCAGGCAACGTAGTTAGGAGGTTTTCGAAAAGCAAGGGGGCAGAAACATAGTCTCAGCACAAGACATAGGAACGTCTCAAAGAAGAGAATCTGCAAAGTCACAGGTGAATTCGACGACAAGAATGGCTACGTGTAAACGGGAAAGCGACGCTGGCCTTGCCTATCCTCGTGGCTTCATGCGACGTGATCTTGCAGAACGAGGGAAGGCCCAAACGTAGGAGCAACAGGAGGAGAAGAGAAGCAGAGTGGAGATGGCAAGGACTAGAAATGGAACGAGGTGAGAATGGTGCGTGAGGTTGCTCAACTGGAAGCTGGTGGACGATCGGCGGAAGAATGAAGGCGACTTTGAACCGCGAGATATGCTATCATGCAGAGAATACAAAGGATGAATTTCGATCGGATGAGGCGAGGGGCCCTACGGAATAAAACGATGTGAAATGAAACACAGCTGAGGAGCCGAGTGC